GGCTGGATTCGAACCGGCCAGCTCAGGTGTATGTGGCTGGCGCTTTAGTCGCTTGAGCCACAGGCACCAAGCCTCTAATAGATTTTTTAAGCTGTATTTATTTGCTGTATTTTTAGTGTGGTTGGTAATTTCAGTATACTTCACAAGCGATTGTAACCCATGGTAGGACATCACATCACGGTCAAGAACCAGCACTCCCATCCATCACAGGCAGCCACTTGGCCACCCCCAGAAGAGGTTGCCAACCTGGCAGCCAGCTCTCAAAAGGCTGATGACATCAACCTATAAACTAGACCCACTAAATCTCATCCTGAGAGGGTTTGCTACGTTACCATGCCCTCAGCAAATGGGGATTCTGACAGCTTCTGCCACTTCCAGAGCCACTACCAGCTCTTATGCTCTCTTATACTGATTAGAAAAAAGGGCCCCCTGCATTCTACCTGTTAGAAACTTGCCATAACATTTTTCTTTTATTCCGATAAGACACCTCACTGACATTTGATGGCAGTAACAGACACACAAAGCTATAGGGTCTATGACATGAAAGTGGTGCCCACCCCTCACTCCCAGTCTGGCAGAGCTACTCGCTATGCCCCCTGAATAAGTGTACACATGCACGCTCTTCACCTCTGTTTGCCGGGATTCAAAGACCCCTCGTCCACCTCTGCGTCATACTGTGTGCGAAAGTCATCCAAGCAGCCGTTGTCTCCAAAGCCCCCCCACTCCGTGTTGATACACATCTTCCCTTCATCCCCCTCCACCAGCTCGATGTTCCTCATCTCCTCCATGTAGCACATGTTGCTGCCTGTTCCTAGGACAGACAGCAAAGGGACTTTAGATCTTAGAGAGGCGGCAGAGTGCAGTCAACAAGAATCTGGCCTTGGATTCATACACTACTGGCTGTGACACCAGTTTAACCCTCATAGCTGGTGACCTCAGGCAAGTCTGCTGGAGTCTCAGTTTCTTCATCTGTAAAAAGGAAGTAATAACTGCCTCGTGGATGTGTTAAAAGGAGAGACAGCGGTGATATTAATGAGTTTCTTTTACACGGAAGCATCTTCTTCTTCTTCCTCCTCATCAGTACTGTTAAGCTCTAGGCACACAGAGCTGCCAAGTGGTCATGGAATTAGCAGTCAGAGCTGGCAGGGACCACGAGGAATCATCTGGTCTTGCCATCTGTGAGCCCATGACCCGGCCCCAGAACTATTCCTTACACAGCAGTCCAGGCAACTATTTCAATCAAGTGAACCTCACCTCTTTGCCCTCTTAAATCTAATCCCACCTCCTCCCACAGATGAGGAAAGTCAAGTCAGACAGAAAAAGCAACCTGTCCAAGTTCACAGAATGGGGAAGAGGCAGAGTGAGATGAGACCTCACGCCTGGCATTGAAGGTACCCAGTACAGCCCTATCTCCTTGCTACTTATATTCAGGAAGCCCAGATGGCCAAATGGAACAACTTCCCCAGATTCTACCATTATTGTGGGGTTTTTTTGTTTGTTTGTTTGTTTGGACAGAGTCTCACTATGTCTCCCTCGGTAGAGTGCGGTGGCATCACACCTCACAACAACCTCAAACTCTTGGGCTTAAGAGATTCTCTTGTTGGCTTGGTGCCTATAGCTCAAGCAGCTAAGGTGCCACATACTTCAGAGCTGGTGGGTTAAAATCCGGCCTGGGCCTGCCAAAAAATGACAACTGTTAGAAACTTGCCGTAACAGCCGGACATTGTGGCAGATGCCTGTAGTCCCAGATACTTGGGAGGCTGAGGCAAGAGAATCGCTTAAGCCCAGGAGTTAGAGGTTGCTGTGAGCTGTGATGCCACAGCACTCTACCCAGGGTGA